GAGACCTTAAGAAGATATAAGATGAAGCTAAACCCCGCAAAGTGTAAGTTCGGAGTAAAATCAGGGAAGTTCCTTGGATACATGGTCACCGAACGTGGCATTGAGGTGAACCCAGAGAAGGTACGGGCGGTACTTGAGATGCAGCCGCCTAGGACAATAAAGGAAGTGCAAATCCTCACTGGACGATTGGCGGGACTTAGCCGGTTTATAGCACGCGCGGCAGAACGAAGTTTTCCATTCTTTCGCACTCTACGAAAAGGAGCTCGATTTGAGTGGTCATCACAAGCGCAGGAGGCTTTTGATAAGCTGAAGGAATTTTTGGCTTCGCTACCCCTGCTCACCAAGCCAGACCCAACAGACGTGCTAATTTTATATCTCTCAGTGGGCGAGGTGGCAATTAGCTCAGTTCTGTTGAAGGAAGATGGAGGGGGGCAGCAACCTATCTATTACGTAAGTAAACTGTTACAAGGGGCTGAGATGAAGTACGCGGAGGTCGAGAAGGCAGCCTTGGCTCTTATTATTACGGCTAGGAAGTTGAGACCCTACTTCTTATCGCATGGGGTCGTGGTACGCACAAATTTCCCTTTAAATGAAACGCTAGGTAGACCATCAGCTTCTGGTCGAATGGTTAAATGGGCGGTTGAGCTCGGAGAATATAATGTTAGTTTCGAGGCAAGAAAAGCTATTAAGGCACAGGCATTGGCGGATTTTATTCGGGAAGGCACGATGGTTGAGAAGCCCGGTGTGTGGGAGGTATATGTCGACGGATCCTCGACTAAAGTTGGAGCGGGGATTGGCATCCTAATCTTGCCACCAGGAGGAGAACCACTAGAATTTGCGGTGAAGCTCACTTTCAGAGCCTCAAATAACGAGGCAGAATATGAGGCGCTATTGAAAGGAATGCAGTTGGTAGCGAGTGCCGGGGCTAGGAAAGTTGTCATACACTCAGACTCTCAATTAGTGGTCGAGCAGACGAAAGGGGATTATGAAGCCAGGGAAGAAAGAATGGGGAAGTATGCAGATGAGGCAAGAGCGTTGGCTAAGAGTTTTGAGTCATGGCAGCTGGTGCAGATTCCACGGGCGGAG